AGCCACGCCCCCCACCCTCGGCCCCTCCTCTCAGTCGTCTGCCTTCGGGGGGGAGACCAAGCCACACTTCCGGCTCCCGGTCGAAGAGTCAGCACCAAAGGGGAAAGGGGACATAAACCCACCCTGAGGGTCCTGACAGAGACACTTCCGGCTCCCTGTCGAAGAGTCAGCGCCAAAGGGGATAGAGGACATAAACCCAGCCTGCGGGTCTTGACAGAGTCGCACTTCCGGCTCCCGCTCGAAAGCCCAGAAGTGGAATGATAGGATTACAAGTCACTCCACCACCCCTGCTTCTTTGTTAATCCGGCTCAGATCCAAACCTCTGGCAGAGAAAGCATGGACGGGGCAGCCTTTGGGTGGGACTCTCTGGCCAGCGGGGCCGACTCAAGCGATTTTGCTGCCTGGGTCCTTGATCCGCTGGCTTTCAGGCAGCTCTTCCTGGACCTCCTGAATTCCAGCCTGCCATGAACTCGATCCCTCTCTCCTGCTTTTCCTTAGGGCGTTATCTTCTGCTTCGATTTTGGATTGGTTTGCTACTTTTAAAAGACAAATTTAAGTTGAACTGTTGTTCAGCTCAAAACATCTCTGTGCCCCTCTCTGTTGAAACATCAGTTTACATGCAACACTTTTGTTATGCATGTTGTAATTTTAATTTGGACCTAAGCAACCAGGTGCAGCCTGGATAGGTCAGTAGTTGAGGTCTCTGGCTGAGGTCCCGAGTTCGAATCCCCACGGTGCCTCTTGGGAGAAGAGCCAGCCTGGGTGGCCTTGGGCAAGCTGCACTGTGCCAGGGCTCCCCCTAGAGGAAGGGAAGGGTAAAGCATCTATCCTCTTGGAACACCCTATAAAAGGGTCCCCATAAATTAGACTTGACTTGACGACGCAGAATTATTACTGCAAGCGAAGGGTTTTTCATCCTGAAAAAGTAGGCCATAAATTCCACCCCTGCAGATAAATCATACGCAAGAACAATGTTTGCTTAACTCTAATATATCAGCCTTCAAGGGACGCTGGACAGATACCTAGATTAATCCCAGGGTTAGCAGCCTCCACCTATAATTCCTAAAATAGAAATGTTGATCTGTGTATGTTTGGGAAGACATGCATGTAGCCTCCACCTATAATTCCTAAAATAGAAAATGTTGATCTGTGTATGTTTGGCAAGACATGCATGTAGCAAAAAAAAAAAAAGTATCTGCAGCCTCCACCTATAATTCCTAAAATAGAAAATGTTGATCTGTGTATGTTTGGCAAGACATGCATGTAGCAAAAAAAAAAAAAGTATCTGCAGGATCAGCAAGCAAAAAAAAACAAAAACAAAAAAAACCCCGTATCTGTGGGATCAGCATCTGATGATTCCCTTATCTATAGTCTGAAAATATTAGAAGAAAAATCCTAGAAAATTATTTCTTAAGGTGAAGCCACCAGACAGAGCCAGAGGCTTTGCTATGTGTAAAATTTGCCTTTTTTCAGCATCCATGGGGAGGCAGATATGGGGTCCCACTTAATATCTTCTCTATCAAAGCCTCTGGCAAGGCAGGGAAGGCTTCAGGCAGGGAAATTTACGCCCCACGACTGCTGAACTACAGCCCCCATCATGCTGCTCAGGAAGAACGGCTAATGCTAAGAAGAACTGAATTCCAATACCTGAAGGACCACCATCTCCCCGATACTGTGGTAGAGACAAAATGCAAATTAGTCCACAACACTATTACAAGAGGTGGATTCAAAACAAAACAAGGAGATAAGGATGCAGAATACTGTACATTGATCGTGAAATTATGGTTCAATTTATTTACAACATGTAGAAAACTGGAGAACAAGGGTGCTTGGAATTTATTTCCTCTTTTAGAGAAAGCAAACTTAACAGATTCTTCTCTGTGGTGGGGGAGAAAAGAAATTTAACACTTATGCCAATACTTTACAGATCTTTACATTTTTTTTTTTCTTGTGAACAGACAGGAAAAAAAAAATCAGTTCGTTGGCGCCTTCTCCACTCGTTACATTTCTGCCGGTGCAGAAAGTGTTCGGCTTAGCAGGCCCCGAGAGGAGAGCCTGCGGCAGTTCTGAGTCAAAATAAAACAATCCCAAGGGTTTCACCTCTTCAGCTACGACAGCAATTTCACCGGCGTCCTGAGGCCCCAAAGGCTGACGAGGCACCTCTTCCGTTCAAAGAGCAACGAAGCGCCGTTCAGTCGGAGCTGCTAAGATGCCACAGCTAAGAAAGGGGGGACTCCGCGCCGACCCGTCGGAGAGCCAAGCGGGCCAGGATAAAAACTCTTTGAGAGGACCACTCCGGATCAACACCTACTCCCCCGATCCTCTGCATCAATGCCGTATACTGTCCCAGACTAATGGAACTCAGCAAAATGGAAGTGGGCAAGAGAGAAAGAGCGAACCAAAATCTTACCTGCCAGCTAAAAGTAATCTGAAACAACATAGGCTGCGTATGAGACCATAAAAATGGGATTTTGCACTGAAAGGGCACACTGGCTAGGAAGTGACCAAGGATCAATTATTATTATTATTTTTAAAAAGGTGATTCCCCAGGGTAGATTTTCCGGCAAAAGGTTCACCCTACCCACCCTAGTCGGCAGAGCCCGAGCCTCAAGCGCAAAAGTAAAATCCAGTTATGAACAGAAACACAAGCGAAAACACCCACGGGCTTAAGTCAAGAGCGGACTGCCTCTTCTTCCAAAGCCTGGGAGGGAGGGAGGTGGGGACACGCCAGCAGGGACCGAGAAGGGAGGAGGAAGAGGAGACCAGACCCTCCCTGCCAGGCTTTAAGGCCGACGCTGTTTTCTTCTACCGTGTTCTGATAATCAGCCTGTGATTTTCACAGTCGCCTTTCCACAGACCAAGCCCCTGGCAGAAGACAGCGTGTTTAAAAAAACACCGAAACCAAAGGAGGAGAACGGATGAACAGGGGGAGGGCATGGCCCACCCCCCAGAAAGGGCGTAACTGCATCTCAAAAAGCTTGTGCAAAGGTTATCACGGATGGTCTAGATTTGGCCAACGTTGTTTTGATCGTATACATGCGTTATTGCTTGAGGAGATGGAAAGGGTGCCGGCTGCGGGCGGCTACGGGGCCATCCAGAACGGTATCTGTTGCTTGGCCCGTTGCTGCGACGAGGGGTACTGGTATCCTAGGGTCCACATCTGCGAGTAGCCGGTTGTGCTTTTATGGCCTCCGTGCTCTTCCTCTTCGTCCGAGGAATCGCCCGTGTAAGCCACCAGGCCAAACCCCTTCTCGCCGGTTTTCATCTTCTTGGCTGGATGATCTAGAGAGGATGCAGGGGGAGAAAAAAAAGAGAGAGAGAGAGAGAGAAAAAACATCCCACCCCGAGGAAAAAGTAGAACAAATTCCCCAAACACGTTAATTCAAAATTAGAGGCATTGTAAAAACATCGTTAGTCGGACACCATTTTGAGGTCACGGAGCGACCGGTCACCCCGGGGGAGAAGGGTCACGCCACACAGCGTCAGCCACGGCACAGGTGATCCATCAGAACCATGTAAGAGAACAGAAAAGAGAGAGAAAAAAAGAAAGACACAGAAAAAAAAAGGAAAATTAAAGTTAGCAAAACGAAGGCACGTTAATGCTCACCGTTAAAGAATGCATGTTTAAAAAGACCACTACAGACGGTCCTTGGCTCGTTTTGATTTTAGGAATCCTAGCTAAGAAGGCATGGTCTGCATCTTCAGGAGTCTGAGAAGCATCAAAACTGCAGGCTCAATTCTGCCGGCACAAAACTCTCAAGTTTAGCAACAGCCGGGAAGCAGAATTTCACTAAAGCGTGCATACGTATCGCCCTGACAATGCTCCACGCTTCCACATCAAAAGGCAAAACTCCATACTTTTCCAGGACATGCAATTCCTGGAAAGAGTATA